GTCCAGGATGTGATCCTTTGGGGATGCTTCCCGTCCCGTGCATCGTTGTGTGGCTCCAGGCAGCAACGCCAGGGAAGTGCCATATGTGACAATAGTGAAATGATCAGGATAAATATAAACTATTATGGGCGATTTGCTATTAATAATAATTATATTTGGCGACTTTTAAGAAATATGCACCAGCCCAGGTACACGACGTTTGGAGCCGAATCGTATTTGTCGTGGGAGTGTCATCGGCGGCGTGCTCGGGAGGTCCGCAATGACGTCCCCGGGGGGCCTGGCCCGGACGACCTCGGCACTACCAGATTTGGACTCAGCGTGCAAGAAAATCCCCGACCACGAAATTTCAGTCGACCAATTGTATCAAACTGCAGGTCTTGGCGGCCTCACCAGTCGATAATAGAGGTTTTTTGCGGTTTATTACACAAAATTTAAAGAAATTTCAGAAATAAAGTCAACAAAATCGGCCAGTCGAGCGTGCGTTTTGGAGGGTTTTTCTACACGGACAAATATCTCAATAGAGATAAGTTTTTCCTGAAAAAAATTTACTGAACGACTAAAAATACGCTAGCTATTAATGTTAGTGATTAAAACAATTGTTTTACAACAGTTTTTGGTACTCATAATGATTAAAACCATGAATGAATTTCTTCTGACACAAAAAACAACAACAATCAAGCGCATGCGCGAGGTTTCTCCTAATGTATCAAACATGTTTGATGCCCTGTTTGTCTTCTTGTTATTAATGATGCGAATCTATTAAAATGAGAGTTTTCTCTTGATAAATGCGCATGGAAGTTTGAGAGAATGGGCATTGGAAGTAAGACAGAAAAAAATTTATCAGGTCAGAAGCGTTTTTATTTTTTGACTCATAATTAACAAGTTATAACTATGTGAAATTACAAGCATAAGATTTATAAAATAGATGGAGTCAAATACTGGCATATCCTATGAAGAATATACATATACAAGAAAGAAACACTCTTAAAATATACTTATATACACAACTTTTCTCAACTTATTGATCAACAGAGCATGAAAATAAAGAATACCTAGTATTTTTCCAGAATCATTTTGATTTGATAAATATGCAAAAAATATATAATATTATAAAAGCTTCAACAATAACACCCAGCAAGCACTGCAGGGCATCTCTTTGGTGCTGAATTTGTCTTGAAATAAAAGACAATACCCCAAAATCAAAACTGCAGGTCAGTACTGGCAGTATAAGAATGGGAGTAAAGACTTCTTAGCAACTCAGTAGTTTCCTTATAATCTTTGAAAACTTAAAGTCATATCCTTGCACTAGTCTAGCTGTGGACTGGAGAGGCTAGGCGCGGGGGTGTAGGCATGTTGCGGGAGACACGAGCTTTTTGTTCTTGTTTGCACTCATCCACCTGCTTTTCCAGTTGTTCCTTGAGCACCAGAAGCTCACGAATTCTCTGGTAAATGGGATCCTTATGATGGAAAAGAATCAATGATTTGTTATTTAAAACTCAGTATTTTTTCCTCAAGACCATAAGAGAACACGAATCGTACTGCATCATACCTGAGGTCGCATTCCTGGATTCCACCGGCAGTAAAGACCCTTCCAGAGAGAAATCAAGCGTATACTGCCAACAGGTTCCAACACACCAGGTCGTGGTAGGTAAAGTGGGTTACGGTAGTTGTCAATACTGCTGTTAATGTAAGACCATAGAGATACAGTTCTCTGCTTCACATTCTCTTGGACTCGCTCTCTGTCACTGCAAAAGTATCACAAGGTAAAAAATTAACACTAGTTAATTGAAATAGCAATAGATGTTTATAAAAAAAAAGAAAACAAACTTTCACTCACCTATTATATAGGAAAGTGCCAAATCGGCAAGAATACAAATGATCAAGAATAGTGATCAAAAAGGTTTCATTGAATTGGAAAGCATTTGGGAACATTTGAGTCAGCTGCCACACACAGTCCATAAACTGAAGGAACACTGGTGATCTATCTGCATCAGAGTGATGGTCGTCTCCATGACCAATTCGCTAGAGTTACAGATATAAGAAAGTTCCTTTTAGGAGGTATTCATTGAATGGAAACTAAAATAAATCAGACACAGATTAGATTAGATTACCTGTTGAAATTTGTGTCCAAAGCTCAGCCATTCTTTTTCAATAAGGACTTCAAATCCCTTAATTGTCCGATAATATGGATCCAATAGTAACATTGCTAGTGCAGTCAGCTAATCAAACCAAAAGAAGTAGTTAAGATTTGATTTTTTTAAATGGTAGATGGAATAAACTTGACCATGATAGGATCAAATAAAATACAGACCTGAGCAGTACGATCCCATCCATCAGAGCAATGCACAAGTACTGAGGTTTTATGAGTTTCAACTCTATTGGCGATACGACAGGCACCAGCAAGTATGTATTTGATATGTTTTAACCAATATGTTGCCTCTATGCCAGAGAGCCAGCGTGATTCTTCAATATTAGGAAAACACAATTCTGAAATTGAAACGTTAGTAAAATTACAATAATAAACTAATGATAAGAGTGTTTCATAACACACAAAAAAGATGCTTTGACGAAACCTTTTAACTTTCTTAGAGATTCTCTCATTACATGAATGTTGTGGATATCTAGAAACACTAGTTCAGCATTTTGATATGCATCTTCAGACTCATATCCTCCACCTTTTGCTTTGTTAGCAATGGCATTCGCACTGAAACAAAGATGTGAATGGGATTAAACTTCCAAAATCACTTTTAATTTAAACTTTATTCTGATCAATGAGAGCTACAAACCTTGGCCGGGCATCCATTATGTACAGCTTGTGAGACTGTGCATTAGCATCCATTATTAGCTGAATGTAGCGTTCATCTTCTCGACAGCGTTTACCTCCCACACCAACAAGTGGTTGGGAGCAGCTGTAAAGTATAAAAAGCAGCAATTAGATATATGGTATGCACATCAAAACATAGGTAGATGTATCAAAGCTTCACTGACCGACAAATGGTAGCCTGACTTTCAGGATGAATCCAAGAGAGTACAGGAATACGAGCACGTGATCTAAACCCAGCCACAGCTCTAACATCATCATCTGTAGCAGCAGCTGGTATCGCCCACACAGCTGGGTAACTGTCACATATCTCATAATGCTCATTGATTTTGGTTATTTTCCACATGTCATTAGGAACTCCCTGCAATACACATACATTAAAAATTCTGGGATTTTCTATACTACCCGACAAAGTTTTGATAATAATATTTTATAATTACCATTCGTTTAAATTCTGCAATGGGTTCCAAAGCATTCCATCCATTTTCAGGGAATGTTTCAGAATAGTCGAAAGCGAAAAGGGGCAACTTGTGTGATAGTGGAAAAGCATACTGCTGTAATTTCTCAAACACATTTCTTCTTGAGTGGTTTTCCTACAAACAGAAGGAAAAAGAAGAGATAATACAAACTATTTGTACCAAAGTTTGAGAAGAGTGTGACAGTATTCCAATGTTACCTGTTTGTGGCCAAATCTTAAATTTCTCATATCCTTACAAAATAGTTCAATGCCGTAGGAGTTTTCACCTCGACTTGATTGTCCTCCCACCTTTTCAACACGGCTGACCTAAAAATCACAGATGGTTTATTTAATAAAAATTTCTTAATACCAATGGTTGAAATATTAGGAAATAAGAAATTTGCCGGGTAATAGAAATACTCACAACACCAAGAGGTACTTCCACCACATAAGGGGTGTCTCTATCCATGCTTCGGAAATGTAGCTTGTAATTTGTGACCGACAGTACACCTCGAGCGGGTCCGCTGTATGGACAAAGATATGTGACTTCTCTTGCCACACCCATAACTTTTTCACCAGGGAGCAATGGAGGGTCATCAGGTCTGCTTGCGGGCTGGCCTGGTTCAACTATACTAGGTTGCTAGATGTCAAATCAGTAAAAATGTACTATCAAAGAGTGTTGATATTTAACATACAGAAGTTCATACATGTAACATTAATCTAACGTACTTTAGAACGTAACTTGTCTGCTGCAGTCATCATGTTTCCAATTGAAGTGGTACTAGCAGAGGTATATGATACTTTGCCAGAGCTAGCCTGCAAAAGACATTGATTGAAGACCTTTATTTAGACAGTAAAATTTCAAAAAAAAAATTCATTACAAGATTGGTTACATGGCAAGAACACATACCGATTCCTGCCCCAGTTTAGAATTTAGGGAACTAGATTTGGAATCAGAACCCAAAGAATCTGAGCTTGCATCCTTAGAACGACTGGCTTCAAAGTCTACTGTTTTCCGATCCATCCTGTGAGTAAACTGCAGTCAAGCTGGAAACATAAATTCATAGTTAGTGATAGTTGTAGTAACAGTAATAGAAAGTTCAGAGACCATCATCTCCCACCTTAACAGTGAGAGAAAAGAAAAGCTTACACAAAAACTTTTAAAATTGGTAAGTTTGTAAACAGAAAAGGAACTGTCAGAGTGACAATAATGACCTGTCAACAACATGTGTTGAGCATTTAGCAAAATTTCGACAAGAGTTCAGCGTGAAAATATTTCATATCAACAAGTTTTGAACAATCTAGGTGCTAACTTGATATCTTCACATTATGGCTGTAAAAAAAAAAACGATTGAGAAAGTGACAAAGTAAATATAACCTAGCTTATACCTGAATTAGTTTCCATAAATGACCATAGTTAAGGGAAGGAGACCCATTATTTACATCAATATTGTTCAGAAGCCCGTAAGTAAGCCTGAAGTACAACGATGTTAAGCAGAAAATTCGTACTAAGGTCGTTACAGATTTAACCAAAGTTTAGAACACAACAACTCAGCGCTCAGCTGCAGCTGAATGAAAGAGCCCGCAACCGCAATCCATTTTCATTCATTTGAGGGCGAGGCAGTGGCGCAGCCACATTCATATTGAAGTTACCAGGCAGATAGTGGAGACTATTTATGTTGTGGGTATGTCACGTATGACAGCACTAGCAGTACGAAAATCTGTCAACAACTTTTATTTGCCTTGGGATCAAGAGATGGCAAGTTCAAAATGTGCGACAAACAGAGGACGACAATTCGTGAGAAGTGCGGCAAGACTTAAAATTCTTACTGTGCAATCAGTATGCCGTTATCATAAAAAGTCACATAGGTGAGGTGTCATTATTGTGTGTATTCACGTGGGTCTTACCATCTATTGAGAGATTTAAAGAGGTATTTGGAATGCACATTCTGGTGAGTGACCCTATAAATGAAAGTTGTGGTGTACGTTAGGTTTTCCTTACCTCTACAATAAGAAGACAAAAAAAATATGTCGCACAATGCACCTAAGGAACGTTGATTTTATTGTTTGCGATAACAAGAAAAAGGCTGATGAGGAAGACTTGGAGAGATTTCACTGTGAACATTGTGAAAGATCGTATTTAAGAACAAAATTACTTGTATTGTCAGACCCGGGTTGACCATGCTCATGCTGGTAAGTATTGCCTTGCCTCTGAAGCTGTCTGATGCTGTTATTTCTTAGAAATTGCTTATGTAATAATACTTTCCAGGTCTATCTGAGAAAGTTTCTTAGTTCAGAATCCTTCTTAAGTGTCAAAGGATAGGATGCAGTGGCTTCTTGTTTGGACACCACCTTCAGTTGTAAGTTTTTGTTGGATTGTCACATTACAAAAAAGCGCAGTTCAGTGGCTTTCACTCTCGAAAAACAAGAACCCTAAGAACATTAAGATTCTAGTGCCTAGACCTCAGAAGTGGAAATGGTGGTCCTGGCTGTTATTGCGACCTCACCAGGTGAAGTGGCTGAGGTGGTGGTGAAAGATACTCAACAGAAACAGGCTATAAGTGAGAAAACACATAATTCTTACTCAAGAAGCACAATATGTGATGCTATCATTCGTTTAAGAAACATGACAAGACTAGGTGTTGCAAGCGAGATTGTGGGGCTATCTCATACAGAAAAATCAATCCACAGTTGACAAATGGGTGAAATTCATCCCCTAAAATCTTTCATGTGAACCCCTAGCATTCCTTGGTAACCCTACTACCCTACAACGACTGAATGAGATTCTTTTGGAGGGGTGGGCTTGTTTATATCTAAAAGGCTGATATTGTTGATATACCGGGTCAACAAACCGAACTTTAGTTTCTATGTTAATTGGTTTGTTACAACCATAGATTGATTTCTTGTTTCCTTTCATGTGAAAATTGATGTGAGGCTACTTGGTTACTTATGTAGTTGTGAGATACAAAAACTAGGACAACAAATTCAAACTTTTCAGTTAGACTGCAACTCCGCAACAGCATATTTCTCCTTAAGGTGAACATCATTCAAGATGTATATATTTCCTGATGAGGGACTACTGTGCACATACCACGGCTCATATTGGCAGTCTGTACGCCTCGATTGTGTCCATTGTTTTCTTCCTTTATAGATTTAAAAAATATCCTAATCAGTAGTGTGTTTGATGTTTGAAATAAATTTACTAATCCATGATGTACTTTGTTGTTGCCTACACTTAAATTCCAGGCAGGCCAGATTACAAGGTTCATTACATCCTCAGACATTCCTGTGACAGATTGCGAGGCCAATGATATCAACATCTGTAGAAATACAAGATTTTTTTTATTCAACCAACGCATGTCCCTCATGCACAATATTTACACAATCTTGGTAATGTAATGAAATAATACTAAAGCACAGATCAAGAAGTCACATTGTTACTCTTGAACCAATTTAGAACTATATGAATTTCTCTACAATGTCATGTGCAAAGCATTGGAGGAAATTTTCCAATTAAATGAATGGATTTGAGAAATTCTTTTTCTCCTTGGGACAGCATTTTTGCAATTTTAGTATTAAAAATATTTGTAGTTGTAGATTTTTTATATGAAGTTCAACATTAAATAACAAGGTATGCACATGTCATGAAACCACACACAACAAAAAAAAAAAAAGATCAACTTAGATGAAGTTGGGACATTCAGACTTATCAAAATGTAATAAAACAAAAAACATACATAACAATGAATTACAAGAAAAAATACTTAATGATGCAATGAACTGTACATTCAATCTGCTGTAAACACAGCTTAAACAATCACTATCCTGAGTACACTGGAAGCAACGACAACCAAACAAAGTGTTGATACTGAGTGCCAGAACACTAATACTCGGTATCATAATGCAAGAAATTCTTAGGTACATTATTT